AAAAAAAAAAGTTCTATTACAAATACATACAGGACCAAAGTTATTGGAAAAAAAATCGAACAACTGTTGCTATTAACAGGAGAAACAAGGAGTTGTTTTCTGCGCAAACGACACGGGTAACAATCACAGTGGTTGGAAAGACAAGTACAACATGATTCATCCGTGTTCTCTAAAAAAAGTCCAAAGATGGCAAGAACAAGTTGCTGAAATACCTGATTCCAACTAATATATTTTCAACTGCAGCGCTACAGTATTGCAGTGCACAACAGCTGTCCGGTAGCAGGACAGGACCAGCACCGACGCGACAGCGCTGTCGGCGACAACGGCATACGTCAACGGCAACGGCGCTAAGCGCACTGCAACGACTTTATAGCACCCAAATCTAATGTCTACAACAATGCCGACTCCCTCCACCCTTCCTTCTCTCTCAATCCTACTCCACAGAAAGAAAAAAAAAGTCATTTCCATGATGTTCTCCCCTTCAGTTCAAAAAAATCATTGTTGCTTCTGAGACAACGAAGAGGAGGAAAATCTTTTTACACGTCACTGTACGAATGGTCGAAGTATCAAACACTTTTATTCAAGTACTCATTTCTGCTGAATTGTCGTCCTCAGCAACTTGTATTTCCCCCCACCAATCAATGGAATTACTGCTAAGTGAATTTAAGATTTAAATATAAATATAAATATAAATATAAATATAAATATAAATATAAATATAAATATAAATATAAATATAAATATAGATACAAATATTTATATAGTGCTTTGAGGACGACTGCTCCATTGAATCCGTCTGATGTCAACCGAAGATGAATACAACGATCATGACAAAGGTCAAGCACACCTCTTTGATCACTAAATTTAAAGATAATCCAATGTAAGTTTCTTCCCATTCGTTCTTTCAGCAAAGGGAAGAGCAAACAAAAACTCGTACCACTGCAACAAAAAAAATTTCCTAAAACTGCTACGAAACAGTACACACCATCTACCTTTTCAGACCCACCGACCATATATCCAGTGTCGGTTCAGTTAAATATATCATCTGCTGCGTCACCGCTGCGGTCAGCGATGCTCCGAATCATGCATTACTTAACAGGATATGCCGAACCTGCAGTCCTGTTCCAGCCGCCAACTTTTTTTGTCCTAAGTTTCTCCTAATTGCGTAAGTTTTGCCGCCACCATTGTTCTAAGCTAAAATTTGGTGTACAACGAATTTCTAACTCAAAAGTGCACGCCTTTTTTAGTCGCTTCTAAATACCTCCAAAATCGTCGATTTGGGGTCCTTACAGGGGTCGAGAACACCCTTGAACCTCATTTTGAGACAAGCATACAGAGCCATCTGATCTCTCCCTTAAATTTTTTAAGTTGGAACTTTCTCTCATACCCCCCAAATCCTAGTAAATTATAGCTGCTCTTTTACTTATAATCCTCCCAGTGTTCACTGTTGAAGCCCTCACCACCCATTATTCAAAGTAGTGCGCTAAGCGTCAGTCCGAAGAAATAAAGAAGTGAAAGGGATCTGCGCCTACTCAGGAAAGCCCCAATACTACGGAAACGAGTTGTGTATTCTAAAAGAAGCTTCGCTTCCTTGATCTGCTAGTTCGAAAAACCCACCACTCCTCCAAACCCCGCTTATCAGAAGAGCTCTGCGTTACCGTACCGTAACTGCCAAGACTCAATAACGCAAAAAAAAGCGCCAACTGTCTCAAGCACTAGCAACGAGTGGGACAAAACCCGCCTTTCAAAGCTCATCGGACCGTCCAGTCGTCAACCAACTTGCGGTGTCAAAGCAAGGTGCTCTCGCATACTAGGTGCAAGGAGCCAAAAATGAATACCAATGTCGACGGGATTTCAAAAAGTCGGAAGATAAACCGTTTTTTATTCTTCTCTTTGCGCAAACACTGTGACACCTCATAATTCGTATCCTCCTGCTGCCCTGAACCACACACTCTGCGCCGCTGAAAGTACGCACGCCACACTAGCTGTAATGCTTATCCGATGCAAACTTCACTAATCGATTTGTCACCCCTCTCATTTTTCCTCTGAAAAATAACATCCTAAACAGAAATTTCTAGCTATCCATTTCCTGCCTCCAACGACCTTGCCAATGTCAGAACACTACAGTGTTTGAGAACCCTTTACAAGTCTTACTGCTGGTACAGCCGGGTGCATTTCTGATATCAACTTCTTACTTGAGAACCCCACAGATGCTACGTAATGCATGAACCACATCTCCCTGCCTCACAAAGCACTCCCAACAGCTTATTTTTGAACAAAGTCAATACGCCAGAGTATGAGTACAGAGCCTGGTTCTCAAAGAGACCTGAGAATTGTTTGGAAAACGCCGTTTTTTAGGTATTATTGCAGTATAAGTCAAAATTCGTAAAAAATAAATAAATATCATTGTTCCCACAACCACAATGAGATAAACGTTTATATAGTAACAACGGATAAACAAGTGATGATTAAGCAAACGTAACTGTTTTTTTGGGGATTTTAGAAAGACATATAAATCTTTTCTCAGATAAGTGACAATTTGTCTTTTTAACTACACATATCAACCGTTCAAGTAAGAGCAACTTTTCTGTGAGTGAAGCTCCCCCAATTACGATGCTATCAACAGAAAAAAAAGCGTCTTCGTGAGTTCTAATAAATCCCAATGTCTCTCTTGTAAAAAAATCAAAAGTACAATCTATAAAACAGATGTCTACTGATCTTTACCTGAATAGTATGTGAAGATAAAAACACTTCTTGGAAGCACTAAACGCCCATAAAAAATTTTTTGAAAAAACAATTTTCTGCGGAAAAAAACGTAATTCCATTTTTTAAGTGAATTCTAAAATTCGGTGAGCCTAACAGACAATGACAGAGCACCAGTAATGTTAAAAACAAAAAAAGCAAGAAGGAACTGCGAGAAGACCCGGCAAAGAACCAGCGTGGGTAAAGGAGCAAAATAGTGATATTCCACGATCAAGAGACTGCTAAATAAAACTGTTTTTTTTTTTTATTCTTATTTCACAATGACCACGCAGCTCCAAAAAGCTTCAAGGACGTCTCCTAACCTGGCCGCGACGTGCTTTGTAAGTCCAGGATCCTCGACCTCTTACTGGTTGAGCTATACCACGCGTCCTTTCAGCGCTGCAACTTTTTGAATACATTTTTTGTGTCGATTGGAAGAACGATTCACTAACATTTGAAAAAGGAACAGTAACAGTTAAATACGAAAATTATTTCCACCTGCTAGAACTTGGCTCATCAACATCTGGAAACAAGATACGGGTGCGTCTTTGCCTGGAGTCCCCGCTAGTTGAGGGTTCAGAAACGCCAGTCTCGTCGTCAGTTTGAGCTGTTCGACTCCCTAGACCTGTTTTTGAGCCTTGTTCTTCATCAGCCACTTCGTTCCCACCTTCTTCATCTTCAAGAATGTTCGGTGATCCTATAGCACCACCTGCTTTATCGTTTCCGACAGTTCCAGGTGCAACCGTACTTGATGCCCCTCGACTATCAGACTCAACATTTGCTTTAAAAAATTTTTATTAGGTATTAAATACATGATTCTATCCCTACAAGTATTGTCGATAAAACACTGTGGAAAAAAGCTGTTCTTAAACTAGTAAAAAAAACGAATTCAGAACGGGAAATTCCATAAAGCGATTTAGTGAAGGACAGTTATTTACCAATAAATGAAGCGTCTCGTGACACTGTAGTATAGCCCACACTTTGTGCTGTAAAACATCACATTTAGAAACAAGAATATCGTAAAAAGCAATAACGACAAGCTTACTTTCCGACCCTCCTGCAGAATGTGCAGTAGTATCTGCATGTGACAACTCCATTTCTCCAGAAGGGACCGATGACACTTCCGAGTCACCACTACTGCAATAACATGTAAGGTTGTGAAATAAAAAACCACTTTCTCCATCAAACTTAATCTACCAATCATGTGACCTTTATTGACAGCGTTGAAGATGAAAAATTTTACCCAGCTTCATTATTGTGAGCCTCCGCTGTAGACCTACTTGCCTCCGAAGTGCTCCTCAGTTGCTGTGAGTCGAAATGGTCACTAGCTTCAGCATTACCTTGGAGGGCTTAAATTAAAAAAGTGTAACTAGAAATTGAAAAACAAGAGTAAGCTTCAAAAAAATAAACAATTTGAAACAACAAATGATCAGATAATAACTTAAAAACTTCTCTTAAAAACTAAGAACGTCAAAATTTCATGTGTAAATTTATAACCATACGTTCATTATCGTTCTCCCTTTCTGCTCCGTTTTGTTCATTGCTCGTATCAGGACGATAAGTAGAAGCTCTTGGGCCTTCATCAGCTTCATCGGTAGACTGGTCAGCAGGTGACTGAGAGTGTGAAACTTCATCTTCTTCGTCGTCATCCTCAATCACAATGACTTCCTCATCATCAATAGGTGGCTTAAATTTGTATCGAGTCGCAAAAAATGCCACATCAAAGTGTTATTGTTTTTGAGAAAACTTCAAAAGCCGAGCCCACCTGTTGCTGCTGACGAACAGGACGTGGAGCTATTAATATTGGTCGATGACTGTGAACGTCAGGGCCTTCTTCCTCTACACCTTCATAATCTTCCTCATCTTCGTAATCTTCATCTTCTTCCATCTCATCTTCATAATCGTCTTCTCCCTATCAAAAAATATTCTACCATACAATGGATATCGCTTGGAAATAAATTTTAAAAAAATTTGTTATTTAAGCTGTTACATTACTTTTGTAACGCTGAGCGTACCGAAAATGCTTTTTTTTCTAACAGATGAAAGTGCTACTCTGCAAATTAACATTCTCCTGAGCCCAAACTCTCTAGAAAGGCGAGCTTATCAAACATATATTTGAAAATAATTTTCTAAGATTTCATTGCATATTCAATTAAAATGGCCCATATACCACAAGTTAAACAATTAATTAGTTCGACTACTTTTTATTGGGCAATGACCAAAGAAAAACAGCTTGTCTTACTAGTAAATAAATAACTTTTTAAATATTTGATAATAAATGAATTTTCCACAAGGCTAGCTGAAGACAGCGCTTATAAAGTAACTAATATTTATAAACCAAAATTCGCAAGAATTATTCATCAAAAATATGTTGTATACAATATCAAAATTTTATTTCAAACTAAACTATCATTTTGTGTAATGAGTGAAAACTTACACCTTCACCAAGAGCCTCGTCAAGATACTCTTCTTCTCTAACCTGTTCGTCATCTTCCAAAGCTTCCTCATCCCCTGCATCACCTTCAATTTCTTCTTGGTATCCTTCTTCTTCGCCTTCCTCCTCCCTCTGATTTGCACCCGCTTCAGGCTCGTGCCTCCGACAACCCTTGATAATTTTATAGCTCTGACATACAATAAAAGAAGAAGGAAAAGACAGACAAACAGCAAATATCGCACAACTGCTTTAAGGCAATGAAACAAAAAAATACAATTCAAAGAAATTGGTCTCTAAGAGGTCACCCACGAGTACCTGCTCTTTCGTTGTCGTCCGATCATCATCTTCTATATATTCCTCCCCTACTCCTTCATCTTCAGGATTTGTTGTAGTTTCGACTGCAATGGTTTCATAGGTAACACAGATACAGACATTCACACCAAGTATGTCAGAACTCTATCTGGTCAGCAGTGTTCAAAGCTGTTTAAAGATTGCTCTAAAACAGTAGTATCACGTACCACTCTCTTGCTGTTCTGGATCAGCTCCGTCGTCTTCGGTTATGTTGTTCTTTTCTTTCTGTACTCTTAGCTCAAGATTCTGCTGTAAGAACCGACTACTGGTCGAGACCTGAAGAGATTCAAGTTTTGAAAGTAAAGGAACTGAGATGTTCAAGAATACCGAAACTTCTTCGAACCAAAACAATATGTTATCTGACAGTCAAAGCAAAACCTGTTCTGAAGGGCTAACACGCTGCCGTTTTACAGTTTCTTGCAACTCAGACACGCTTTCCATTGAGGAAGACTGATCACTAAAAAAAATTTTAAAAACATTTGCAAACAGAATACTGCAAAAGCAGCCCAAACAAAATCCTACTTTGTAACACTGATAGGTCGTTTTCGCAGACTCGATGAGAAGCCGGACGAGCTCGGAGGACCCGATGAAAAATTGACAGAAGGATCAGACATGCTTGGAGCACCAGAACTACTAATAACGTTGAGTCCATCACCGCTTCCAGAAATCACTAAAAGTATTACCACTTGCAAGAGTTTATAAACAGCAATGTTTTTAAAATTGTCTTAAGATCAATACACTAACGGTAATAGAAGAAATGTGCTCAGATTAGTGAACTCAAAGTACGAAAAAATCAAAAATCAAGAAAAAACTAAAAGAAAATTAACCATTCTGTTGAGCTGGTTTATTTGGTTGGATGACTGGAGCAGAACTGCTGGAGAAGGTTGTAGCAGACGACTGGCTAACGGTGCTGCTCTATATTAATAAATGTTTCAAAAATTTTAAATGAATACTGCGTTTTCAAGTATATTAGCATAAATTTTAAATCAGATTAAACAAGCGAAAAAAGAAACTAAATTTATCAGATAAAAGCAGCTGTAAATCAAAACCTGCTGGGCTCTGGTAGTTACAGCAGCTCCGGATGTGAAAACATTTTTACCGGCAGACTTTAACAAGTTGCCAAAAGTGCCAAACGGAACTTTACCGGAACCCGGCGCAATCTCGGACTTCGAAGATGGGAATATTACTGCACTTCCTGAGGCCACCTGCGCAGTTTTCCCGGTAGTGCTTGCCACAGACATAGACTAAATAAGAGTATTCTTTGAAAAACATCGTCAGAAAACGAGCTCCGATGCTTAAGAATGAGAGTAAAAATATAAAAATTATTTAAACAAATTAAAGACTTCTCAAGAGCTGCATAGAAAGCTCTAATAATAAACGTTTGAAATATACAGTAATCACCTGTTCAGACGTTGTAGAAACTGAAGATTGCTTAGCGATAACTAGGCTAGGATCAACTGGCTCACCAAGCCTTTTCTGTAGAGCATTTGAAGGTTCTTCGCCGGAGATTTTGCTGGCCAAGTCCCCAGCATTGCTAGGTGACTCTTCCGAAGTCGCAATTCCATCAGTATCTTCACCTTAAAATATACAATATAAAAGCTTTCTGCTTACAACAGCCCAAACTAGCATAACGACCTACATTTCTCCGTAAAAGATTGCAAGTTCGAAACAGCAGAACTCCGGAAAACGACTTCAGAATGAAGCGACGAGTCTCCACTACATTGCGAAGTAACAGAAGTTGAGGAGCTAAATAAGATGTCCCCAAAATAAATATTGAGAAACTGTTTAATCGCTCCATAAATTTTATTTTCTCTTAAACTAACCTTACAGGCTTGGTAGATACACCTGATGTCGTTCCGCCAAGTTGTTCTGATGTCCCAGCCGTCTCGGAATCCGTTACAGATTTGATATGAGGTTCGCTTTTTTTTCGAAATTCTTCTAAAGCCAACTCTTGGATTCTGATTTTTTCTCTGTACTCATTTAATTGTATATTAAGCGTCTCAATCTCATTCTTAAGCCTTGCCAGTTCTGTATCCTTTTTCGTCATCATACTCGTGATAGAATTAAGACGGAAACGAAGCTCCTCTAAAAAAATAATAAAAAGTGCAAAAGAGAAGTGAAAAAAATTTATTCAACACATCTCTTAAATGATAACACATAATCAAAATCAATTTAATCCACGTGTTGCCTAGCTTTAAAAAGAATCACAAACACTTTGCATCACTAACCTAAAGTCATAAATCCAGAAAAAGTAGAAAAATACCAACCATTTGCTGGAGAAACCAAAACAATACCTTCTTTGGTCTCCTTTTCAGCTCGTAAAGAATCTTTTTCTGCCTTCGTCTCTTCTAATATATTTTTAGTTCCAGTTAGCTCTTCTTGAAGATCCTTAAATCTGTTTGCCAAATTTTCCAACTGATTTTTCAAATCCTTAAAAAAAGTTTTTAGGTGGACTACTACCGCCCATGAGTAAAAGACAAAGCTGGTGGAATACTTTCATAAACTTTATAAAAAGGAAGATAACGCACCTTGTTCAAATCGTTGAGTGACTCAATCTGTTTCATTTGTGCTTGTATAACGCTAGGTCCTTTTGACGGAGATGACACTCCAGCCATTGTTTCAACAGGCCAACCTGTACGAGGTGCAGTTGATGCTAACTTCTAGAATAAAATCAATTAAAAGATATAAAGATTCTGAAGCATATTTTTCTGTACAAGATCCATAGAATTTAAACCTGTTTATATTTTTCAATTTCATGGCGAGCTGTAAGTAACTGTTGTTTCAGTTTTGCTGATTCTGTTTCAGTAGTACTCTCAGATTTTTCAGCAGAAGGCTCAGTTGGACCTTTTGCGTCGGATACATCTTTTTTATGAGTTTCTTTTTCAGCGTTCAGTGCAAGGAATTTGGCTTTGTAATTCTTTGCCAAAACTCGAAGTTGCTGTATAGTTGTCAACAGTTTCTCATTTTCCGATCTGAAATCCTTGAGATACACAATCAGAAAACTATAATATTTCAAAAAAAAAAAAGATACACACTTATGCTTAGCTTCTGACTCTTCCGTCTGCCTTTTTCCGTTTTCCAATTCCACAGTCATTGATGATATTTGTCGCTTTAAGCTCTCTATCTCTCCCCTAAAGCAGAATAATTTATAACTGATTTCGCGATTGAGCAACCTGAGAGTTAGCAATCTTAAAGCATTTCAGATCACACGCACGTCAGTGACACAACTTTTTCAGGCCCAATTTTGGTTAACGCAGTCATTGCTTCTGCGTGTCGTTCCTTCCAGGAGTCTGCCTAAAATAACCAACTAGAATGAAACTTAAAATTTGGAAAGCTGTTTCACTTGAACCACTTCAAAACTCACCTCTTTGCGATAAGTCTGGACATCGGAAGTAAGGTTTTGAATTCGACTCTTATCATTGTTTTTTTCTGTATCAAGATTTCTTATTTGAGATTCCATATCAGAGATCTAGAACAGAAAAGCTGTGAACGGTTACATTATTTTAAACAAAAAAACTGGTAATTTAAATGAAAGTAAAAGTATAACTGAGAACCTTCTTAGAAAGCATTTCTTCTTTAGATCCTAGCTTCTCCAACTGAGCCTTCAATGTCTCATTTTCTTGTTTCGCTCCTTCCAAAAGCGACAAACGAGAAATCATCTCGCTTTTTTCTGCCAAAGCACGGACATTGGCCTGCGAAAGGTAACAGAATTATAGCTTAGTAAGAAGCAAATAGATTATTTAATTTTAGTACTAAGTTTGCGACAACGTTGTGTTACCTCAGCTTCAGCCCGCGTTTTCTTTAACTCTGCTTCAAGCGTTGAACGTCGCTCTTCAAGGTCCGACGCTTGCGCCTGCAACCGCTTCCACTGAAGCTCAGCCGTCAAGGTACGCTGCATCGACTGCAAAATATGTAATGTTACAAATTAGACGTAAATAAGAAATGGATTCAGCGACGAAACCGAAGTGGTGCTCACATGTTCATTTTCGTCTTGCAGATACTTTATAATATCACTAAGGGCATTTGTTGACTGACTTCTCCCTTCAACAGGCTCACCCCCAACAGCACTCGACCGCTCCAAATAAGAATTACGCTGAGAAACCTGGAAGTTTTTATGTTCGTTTTTAAAGTACAAGAATCAAAAACAGCAATTCTTGACTGCTACTCTAAATTAAAACAGTAATCTTCAGTCACAGTTCAAAAAAATGCAAAACTAGAAGGCAACTCATTAAAATCTAGCGCTTGGTTTCAGCAGTTACCTTTACTAAACTGTCATTCAAGGTTTCAATCTTTTTGGATTGCAAGGTGTTCTCATCCTGCACTTCCTTCAAAAGTTCTTCAAGCTTGCCTTTTTCCACTCGAAGAATAGCCTAGTAGATGGAGCAACAGAATCAGTACGCAAAAGCAAGAAGGAAATAAACAATAAAAACAGACTTGTACAACAAACTATTATGAAAAACTCTGAAAACCTACAATCTCATTTTGGTAATTCTTTTGCAACTCTTCAATCTTCAAATCTTTGCTCGCCTTCGCTTCTTCCGCAACATTTAATGTATTTTCAGTCTCTACTATCTTTTCTTCCAGTCGTGAAATTTGCTCCCTCAGTTTCGCCCTGTCTTCTTCCAACTGTAAATAATCAGAAGCGAATTAAGAATAATAAACTTGGTTTAGAAGAAAGCGAAGGAAATATTTCAAAAAGCTAAAGGTAGACAAGTAAAAAGAAATTTTAGAGAGTAGAATTCGCAAAGGAAAATTAGTTCAGAAAATGAGTAAGTCATTCTGACTTTTTTAAATAAAGCAATACTCTCTATAAAAACTCGAACGACAGCAAAATTGAAAAGCAAACTCTAAGTAAAAAAAAACGCCAAAGAAAACATCCAAGCCAGGTATGACCCAGCTGAACATTTTGGATCTTACTTTGAAAAACCATATTTGAATTTAATAACACCTTATATTTCTTCCGAAACCAAAAAATACTGCTGCATCGGAGAAATAAGTTTGAGTGAATACGTCACTCTCCACATTATTAAATCAGGAAAACGGAACAAATAATCGTTAGTTTTACAAGTTAAGACATTATCCACTTTTTACAAAAAAACTCAACTACTAAAAAAACGTCTCTTATCCTCGAATATATTACTAATCGGTTACCTATCCTGCCAGAAAATTTCAAAGTAGATTCTTAAAAAACTATGGTCGAAGGCCAAAGGCACCATTGCTTACCGCAGCCATTTTACCCTCCGTTTTACTCAGGCGATTTAGAGCTTCGTCAACTCGAATGTCAGCGTTCATTCGTTGACTT